GGACAGTTGAACACGAAGGCCTCCACCCCTGTTTAATGATGGACGATTTCTTTTCACAAAGATGGCCTCCTTTACTCCTCTCTCAAACCATCGTTCCTCTCTATCAAGGATGTGACCATCTTCATCCCTGAAAGAGGCCTGGAGATGAGTGTAGACCGCAGAGTCCTGGCCTGATGATGTTGCTCTTCTGTGCTGGGTCGTCTTTTTGGCCAGTGGCTGTTTAGTTTCCCTGATGTAAGACTGATCACAGCCCTCCTGACACTGAACAGCATACACAACATTACTCTGTTTGTGCCGGGGAACTGGATCTTTGGGATGAACCAGTCTTTGCCGTAATGTATTTTGGGGTTTGAAAGCCTCTGGGATGTTATGTTTAGGAAATAAACATCTCAATTTCTCTTAAACTCCCGCAATGTACGGAATGACCACTGGTCTGGGTCTGGGTTCCTCCTTTTCACCTGATGGCTGACTGGAGTCCTGTTTGGGTTTCTTCTCTTCTTTCAGGAAGGCCCAGTTAGGATATCCCCATTGCTCTAGAGCCTGTCTTGTGTGGGATTTCTCCTTCTGCCTGGCTCCTGCGTTAGTGGGGACGCCGTCTGCTCTGTGGTACAGAGTCCTGATGACTCCTAACTTGTGCTCCTTAGGGTGATGGGACTCTCCCCACCCGAAGGCATAAGGAAGCCACCCTTTCATCTACTGGGGAAAACTCCAACACACAGGCACCAAGTCCGGGCGCTAAAAGTAGACCCACCCACACCAGCTCGGCGCCTCTCCCCACGGGCAACTCCAGAGTGGAATAAGGTCCAGACCCTCTCAAAGAGATTGGTTCCGGAGCCCATGCTGTGGGTCAAGGTGAGCCCAACTAAATCTAGTTGGTACCTCTCAACCTCACGCACAAGTTCAGGCTCCTTCCCCGCCAGAGAGGTTACATTCCATGTCCCAAGAGCCAGCTGGTCACCAGGTGCCCACCGAAGAGCCCCTGCCCCAGGCGCCCGACTGAAATGTGTACCCCCACAAATGTTGTATCAAAATGACTGGCTCGGCGCCGTGATGCGGCACCTTGTTTTTGGCGTTGCGAGTATGGTAATGTAATTTGCAAACAAAGATGCCATTTTTCCCATACAAAACACCTGATGGAACTCCACAGCCTAGAGGCTGTGGAGTTCCACACTACTGAACTGCCACAGTATGGTCACATGACCTAGAGTGAGGTCCCTGAAAAGAAACTCAGTACCGTAATTCCCAGTCTATAGAATGCACCTGACTGTAAGCCGTGTGTGCTAAATTTAAAATAAAACACAATTTTCTACATAAATAAGACGCGCTGGTGTATAAGTCGCGGGTGTCCACAATTTAATATCAGAAACTGTACACAGCTCCTGACAGAATGTGCAGCTTTAGTTGTAGCACAAGAATCAACCACCAGATGGCGTTTCATATATTTTAGTTTGCTTTCAACACACACACAGACTGCTGGTCCCACTGGACTTCATGATGAAACGCTCTCTGGCTCATGGTTAATCTACTGAATAACCTACAACCTACTGAATGAACACAAAAACTAGTCTTAAGAAGAACACTACCTGTAATCACTGGAGAGAACAGTCCTAAACACCTATGTAACAGGTTCAGGGTTATCTTGTAAATGAGTCCCTGAGGCTCAATGGGACTAACCTGTATAAATAAAGGTTGAATGAATGAGTAATCAAAATTATTTTAAAAATAATATACCGGTAAATTTTAACCACAATCCCTAGCTGAGGTCATGTGACCAGCAGCCATATAGTACCGTAATAGTACTGGTAAATATTATAGTATGGTAAATGTTCATTAAATTACTACCATTTAATTTTTTTGTTAAGCATGTTTGGTAGCAGCTGCTGTTTTTAAATGTGCTTTATAAATAAATTTGACTTGACTCCTGCTCTGCGGAGCACACATGACATGAGTCACATGACTCTTGGGGGAGAGAAGGCAAACACGCACACCCTTTTCTTTGCTGTGAACTTGTAACATGATATTTACTGTATATAGAAAGATTTTTTTTAAACTTTTATTTAAATTTGTACCAGTAACATACACAAAATAGGCTACGTACTGTACGATAAATGTTTTGGCCTTTAACACGGCTGGTAAAAATAAAAATCCGATGGATTTTTCCGCGATCCTTGTTTGAGTGAAACTTTGTTTGTTTTGTTTGTTTAGCCTAGGGGGAGCTGCTGACGGAGTTATCCGTGCCCTGATGGACAGTCCTTTACTTTTCATAAATCTGAGACGGTGATGAGATGGTCCACCTTTAAAATCTTCTATGTTTTTTGGTGGCAATCTTTTTTTTACTTTCAGTCAGAACCTGCACGGTAGAGCTGTCATTTCTAACCCGGGCCCGGCCCAACCCGAAATTCGGGCTGGGCTAAAATAATGTGCTTGATGGGTGGGCCGGGTCAGTGTCGGGATTTTGATTGCATCAGCGGACGCATGTGACTGACAATCCAATTTGGATCACCAGCCGGCCGGTTGAAAGAGGTGGGAAAAAAAAGTCCAGATGGATCTGGATGCAGTAACCATGAGTGATTGGTACATGTCATGAACATGTGGGCCGAGATGGTGTAGAGGCAGGGCAGCTGACTCTGGACCCGAAAGTCCAAGGTTTGATCCCCAGTCATTGCAGATCTCGTGGTGTCTCTGAGCAGGACACCTCATCCCCAAATGCTCCCCAGGTGCTTTCAACAGCTGCCCACTGCACCACCTGGTGGTGGATAGGTAAAATGCAGAGATCCAATTTCGCCATTGTATGGGAACATAAAATGATGACAATACATAACACATTATTATTATTAAATGTACATTATTATTATTATTATGTGGTGTTCACTCTGTCTGTTTCACAACAACCCACCCACTAGAAGAGTTTGTCTTGGGCAGCTATATGAAGGCCCAGGTGTGTCAGAGTAAAATGTTTTTTGATGGCAGAAGGCTTGTTAGGCTGTCAAAATAAAATACAAAAAGTAAAAAGTTTTTTTTTAAATCAATAAATTATTTGACAAAGGTGTAACGAAGCTATCAATAAATGATTCTCAATGAGTTAATGAATTTCAATATTATATAATTAATAATATATTGTGTAATTATATAATTATGGTATAATAATATAATAATAATAATAATAATAATGTCATCACTGTATGTTTCCATACAATGGCGAAATTTGTCTCTGCATTTAACCCATCCACCACCAGATGGTGCAGTGGGCAGCTACTGAAGTCGCCGGGGGGTCATTTTGGGGATGAGGTGTGCTGCCCAGAGACACCACAAGGTGTGCAGTGACTGGGGATCGAGCTGGGACTTGCGGGTCCCGGGCCGGCTGCACCATCTCGGCCCCCATATATAATCTCATGAATTTCAATAATTCACAATGAAATTTAAGCAAGAACTTATTTTATGTAAAAATTTCTCCATGTAATAAAATCAAATTATAAATCATAAAATCAAAGTAATTTTGTTATTTTATAATTAATGTATTTATTTATTTTAATTATTTAATTAATAAACAGTATTGTAATTATCAATGTAAACCTAAATTTGATATCTAATCACTTTTTTTTAGAGCAACTACAATTTCTGTGTGGATGTTTTAATTTACAGATTGCAGTTTGTTACATCACAAATCCTCATAAGGTAAAAAACAAAAAACTGCAAGGCCTTCCAGAAGGCTCAGAACTAGGGGTGCACCAATTGCAGTTTTCTGGCCAATCACCGATTGGTAAAAAGTCGGATCTGCCGATTCCGATTTTAGCTGATACTGATGTTGTTTTTTAAGCGACACTGTCAGGTGTTATAAGGTCACAACGCACCTTCAATTTTCCAATCTTCTTTTGTTGAAAAACATACCCTTGAACAATATCCTAGAAACAATACAAACTTGTTTTAACTGGCCATGAGGTAGTGCTCTGAAATATAAATGACGTTTAGACAATTGTTGTTCAAACTACAATAAAATTGGTTAAATCGATTTATCATGTAAGTATCGGCCGATCTCGAATCTCCGAAAATTAAGGAAATCGGGGCCGATTTATTGGTGTACTCCCACTCAGAACCCTGTGTTTTGATCCCTCCCACTCTACATCAACATTGGTATTGGTTAATTCTCCTGTCAGTTATGAAACAAACTCCTCCTACAGAGACTCTGACTGAGCTCAGCCTTCTCTCCTGACAGTGAAGTCCTGACCAATGAGAGAAACATGTTTCTTTCTGCCTGCAGACGTAAATTAACAAAATCTGATTGCAAAGTATTTTACAGAAAATAGGATAAACTGGCAATAAAAAACGCTGTAAATTAAAGTAAAATAAATACTGAATGAAAATTTTAAATGTAACATTTCATATAGGGCAGCTGTGGCTGAGTTAGAGCAGTCGTCCCCCAATGGAAGAGTTGGAGGTTTGATTCCACCAGCAGTCACATGCTGAAGTGTCCCTGAGCAAGACACTGAACCCCTCTTTGCCTCTGATATGTGTCCCATCAGTGAATGAATGTGATCTGAAGCTCTGATTAGTCTCCACAGATTCAGATTAACTTTGTAGCCATGTAGTAGAGTGCTGTATGAATGTGTGTGTTGGAGGTAAATGAGGGCACAGATTGTTGTAAAGAGCTTTGAGTGTCTTGAGAAGATAGAAAGGTGCTATATAAATACACTCCAGTATACCATTTACCATATATGCTAAATTCGTAGGCCTTCTCGAAAGGCATTGAAGACCTTGAGGGTTCCTCACTGCTGTCTTTCTAATTTTAGCTTTAACTTACTGTTTAGCTAATTGTTTATCGTATAAAACGTGACAGTGTTGCATTCAGAGGATACATTCTCTTTCATGTGATCTCTCTCATTCTCTCTCAGGCCCCGGAGTCCAGGCAGTGTTGAGAACATCCAGCTGGACAGAACCGTCACAGTGCTTGTTGGGATCGGTGCATCTGTCCATGTAGCAGGTTTGCTTTAGGGTGCCATGGCCACGGGAACCGAAGGCCATCGTGACCACATCCTGGAGAAAGCTAAGTTTGCACCGCCTTCGGGGAGGCGCAGAAAAGCAGAAGGAAAACCCAAAAAGAACTTTCCCTGCCAAGAGTGTCAGAAAGCATTCAACAGTCTGGAGAAGCTGAAGGTGCACTCGTACTCTCACACGGGGGAAAGACCGTACCGCTGCTCCCACCCTGACTGCACCAAGGCCTTCGTCTCCAAATACAAGCTGCTACGGTACAAACAAGCTGCACTGTCTTCTGCTCATTTCACTGACGTAGAAGAATTGTGCTTTTGGTATTCATTTAAATATTATTGCTGTAGTTTTATGTGTTCATGGTGTGTGTCTGTGTTTCAAGGCATATGGCAACTCACTCACCAGAAAAAAACCACAAGTGTTCGTACTGTGAGAAGATGTTTCACCGCAAGGATCACCTGAAAAATCACCTGCACACCCACGACCCCCACAAGGAGGCATTCACCTGCCAAGAGTGTGGCAAAAGTTATAACACCAAGCTTGGCTTCAAACGCCACCTGGCCCTCCACGCTGCCAACAGTGGAGACCTCACCTGCCAGGTGTGCCTGCAGCCGTTTCCCAGCACCGGCGTTCTCCTGGAACACCTCAAAACGCATGCAGGCAAGTCATCCGGTGGCACCAAAGAGAAAAAGCATCGCTGTGAGCATTGCGAGCGACGGTTTTACACCCGGAAAGATGTGCGGCGCCACATGGTGGTGCACACCGGACGCAAGGATTTTCTCTGTCAGTACTGCGCTCAGCGCTTCGGCAGGAAGGACCACCTGACCCGCCACATGAAGAAGAGCCACACCAGGGAGCTGCTGAAGGTCAAAACCGAGCCAGCTGATTCACTGGAGCCTGTCGTTTATGATTTGACATCTGGAAGCATCAAGGGCGAGCTTCCAGGAACGCTGGCGCCGCGGTCACACCAGCTCAACATGTATACGGTCCCTGGTTTGGACACACAGCCCTTCTCTGCTCCCACCTACCCGTTTTCCTTAAAGTACCCACTGGGCTCCAACTTTACCTCATACACCATCCCCTCTTACGAGAGGGAACAAAACCTAAAGGGAGAACTGGAGACGTACCTGATGGAGCTGCAGAGCAGCGTACCATCCTCCTCGTCGGCTGCCCAAGAACCCCAGCTCTCCTCCAAGCTCGAGCTGGTGCCTCAAGGAGGGATGCTGGAGGAAGCAGGCGAGGAGACGTCCCTCTCCAAAATATCTGACTCTGCGGCCTCATCTTCCTCTCTGATGGACTTCTCTCAGCTGTTCAACTACCTGCCACTCAATGGACCTCCATACAACCAGATCGGAGGTAGCGAGGGGCAGGGCGTGGCCTTTTCACCCCCCGAAGAGCCGGCTCCTCTAGTCCAGCTGCCCCCCCAGGCACCAGCAGGGCCGGAGGCTGAGGACAATCTGCTTCAAGGACTTCCTTCGTCCTTCATATCCAACCTGAGCACACCCACCACACTGCCTCGCTTCCACCAAGCCTTTCAGTGATCCAGTATGTATGGTCTGACGGATCTGAGCCTCCGAGCCACGACAGCAGGTCCAAACCTCAAACAAAGCATCGCAACGCAGATTACAAGGTGTTCGCAAGTCATTTATGACAGGGTGACCGACACGAACACAGGAGATACGCTCAGAGTTGAATGTGTTGATTTTTTTATTTTGTGTTGCCAACTAGTTTTCAAAAGTCCAAGCTTTCAATTGACCAACTGACAAATCTTCACCACCACCTCTCCAGGAAAACCGTTCTCATGCTGCGTCTTTGTGTAGATACGCCTCTGAAGGCCTATTTTCTTACCATATTTTATAATATATACTTATCTGCTCCTTATATAATATATACAGATTTTAAATGTTTCTCTTTATTCGCATAACAGGATGTAAGATTCAGCGACGTGCTCAGGCTGACATGTATTTTTTTACTCTTGATAGCTTAAGTTTAAAATGACACCTTAGTGGAGTTAAATGTTCAGCTACATGCTCGGTCACATACGTAAGGCTGCTGTTCCCTTCTTTAGGGGTGTCAAACTCGTTTTCAAAAGGAGGCTAAAATTAAAAAGTAATTCCAGTTTCAGTCAAAATGTTACCTACAGTCAGATACCTGGCATCTTTTCTTGGTTGCAGGCTCCTCGAGTTTTACTGGTCTCATTTGACGTTCTCTGTTGCTTTTACCGTATCAAAATCAAAGATTAGGGTAAAATTGAAACTACTTTTCTTGGCTTCAGAGTTGTCCAGTTGTCTTGAGAAGTCTGCGCAGTCTAAAGTATGCTCAGTTTTAAAGTAAAACGAGAAGTGATAAAAGTATTTTACTTCTATAATATCATGATGGGGTCCAGATAAGACGTTAAGAAGGACCATATTTGGCCCCTGGGCCTTGAGTTTGACACGTGATACAAGATCTCGGTGCCAAGTTGAAACTCTTCTTCAATCAGTGCTGTATTATTCCCACATTAGGACCTTCAAGGTACCGGATGAGGACTGAACCGAGGAGCAGTATTATCGCGTCACATTTCGTTTTTCTAGAGGTTTTATTCCTTCGTCAACGGGAAAATGTGTCCCTTTTTCTGGACCCAGGCCCAGTTAGGATGCTGGGATTGTGACGTTAACAAAATAGACAGGAAGTCGTTCTTTTTTAGCTCTAAACATGTTGAGGGGTTTTTTGTTGTCGCTTTATGTCTCCCACGTTATTCTTCCGTCCTACAGCTACATGGACATAGCAATCGAGCTAATTAGGCGTTGAACTGTTAGGGAAGCCATTAGCACTTACCGTTATTTCCAGACTATTGAGCACACCTGAATATAAGACACGCCCACTAAATTTAAAAAGGAATATTAATTTTGTACATGTATAGGCTGCACTTGTGTATAAGCCGTGGGCGTCCACGTTGTAACATGAGATATTTACACCAATTTTTATTTTTGTAACTTTTAATTAAATATGCACAGTAAAAAAAAAAAAAATTCTGAACGCTGCCGGTAACACGGCTGGTTAAAAAAAATACAGTAGCCTACCAGGAAGTCATTGATCGCTGTCCTCATCTTCCTCCTGCACACTTCTCGCTACCAGTCATCCAAGTCTCCCACTGAGCTCTTTTAAATGCACAATTCACACTTATGTTGAGGGGCTGCAAATACTTTGTTGTGCCCCCATAACAGGGAGGGGAGGAGAGAACGGACCAACAGTGGACCAATGAAACTGTTTCAATGGTCTCCGAGAGACGTGCATTGGGCAGCTCTGTGAGCACCCGGGTGTGACGAGGCTAAATGTTTTGATGGCATGAAGCTCGTTAGCCCATCCCCCTCAAAAAATCATAATTACCTGCAGCATTGTATAAGCCGCAGGGTCAAAGCCTGTGAAAAAAGTAGCAGCTTATAGACCAGAAATTACTGTTAATTAGTTTTAGCTTCAAGTTTCTGGTGTATGTGGGTTGTCTATATTTTTACCATTGTTTTTTTTAAATCTCTGTTACACATTCAGGGCCTCGTTGTCCCGTCTGAGATAAGTAACAATTTTATTATTAGAAAGATGATAAATTGAACTTTAAGCGAATTACAGATGGCACCAGATGTTTACATACAGCAAATAAAAAGAGAACAACGTATTGTTTGATAATAAATCGGACTGAAGCTTTCCTGTTTCAGGTCAGGATGTATTTCTGTTAAAGGGTGAAATGAGAGAAGATTCAGAGTTAAAAAGTTTATATAGGTGTTCTTCATGTTTGACTCAGGTCAAACGTTTTGTCCTTCAGCTTCTCACATCAGTGTGTTGGAGTTTTGTCTCGTCCCTCCTGGGAGAACTGAGGCAGGTTTGGAGGTCACCTTGCTCTCAGAGATCCCTTTGCTTAAAATGATACGAGATCAGGGCTTTGTGATGGCCATCAACTTTGATGATGCCATGGACTTTGTTGACCTTCACCTTGTAGCTCATCTGGCCGTCAGCTCAGGGTCACGGTCCACCTGAAGACCCGTTTGTGTTCACGCTTGAACTTCTGCTCATGTCTTGACGCTGCCTCAATATTTCTATATAATGTTCTTTCCTTGTGATGCCATCTACTTTATGAAGCTCACCAGTCTGTCCCGCCCACAGCATGGTGCTGCCACCTCTGTGCTTTACAGCAGAACACCCACAGCATGGTGCTGCCACCTCCGTGCTTTACAGCAGAACACCCACAGCATGGTGCTGCCACCTCCGTGCTTTACAGCAGAACAACAACAGCATGGTGCTGCCACCACCGTGCTTTACAGGTTAGATACTGTAAGCTTTGTCTTTATCCTTCTGAAGTAACAATGGTCTTTATGACTGAACAGTTGAGACCACAGGACATGTCTCCAAACATCGAGGTCTTCTTTAGCTTGTTTTGGCTGTAAAGTCTTCCTGACCTAGAGTCTTTTCAGTCCATGGTGGTCCAGTTTCTCTGTGGACTCTGACCAGCTTCAGCAGCTGCTCTGGTCTTGCAGGTCTTTAGTTTTGGTGGTGGATGCATTTTGCAACGTTTATATTTGTGTTTTATTGTTTGATGAATTTTGATCCTTCAGGCATCCTGTGTTTGCAACAATGAAGCAGAGCTATGGAGGAGGACACACTTTGTCTGTTTTTATGATCATGATCCATGCTGCTGCAGAAAGATGCATCTATCTATATCTATCTCTCTCTCTCTCTCTCTCTCTCTCTCTCTCTCTATATATATATATATATATATATATATACGCCTCCAATTAACACACATGACGTCATTATTTGTGTTTTGCTAAATTGTTTAAGGCAAAGTGGATAAAATCTCTGTCATTGTTTAGGAAATGGAAATAATTCTGTGGATCCTAAAGCAGGACCAGTTTGTTCTGGTTTAATGTCAGACTGGGAGATTAAAACATATTTTATAGATGGTGTATGTAAACATCTGGCTTCTACTGTTTAGTAACACCTACCCGCTCCTGAGAGTGAGTCGTATGCACAGATATTTTCTACTTCTTGAGCCTTTTTTAATTTTATTTTTCTATCAGAGGCCTCAAGTTGTGCACCTTTACCCCCCCTCCAGCCCCCCACCCCCACCTCCCGACCCCTTTAACATCAACATAACCTGAAGTGCCATTAAATGTCACCAATGGACTGAAAACTTTCTACATGACGTTTGAAGTGCCTAAAAATGTTTGATTTTTAAATGATCTACAGAAATATAAAAGGATTTAAGAAGTGAAAACTTAATAGAAGTTCTCCTAGATATAGTCTAATTGAAAGAAATGTTTAATTGACAGAAACAGGTTTGTCCAGTTAGTGAATACGGTGCCTTATAGTTTTTACAAAAGTTTATTTTTATTCATCAACAACGTAACGTAGCCTTCACACAGCATCTCTTTGTCTCGGTCCAGTTTCCCTCTGCAGGTCCAAACGTCTTTGACCCTAGATGGTTCTGGTTCTGTCTTCCTGTAAAACCCAATGCGGTGCAATCCCTCCTGGTCTCTGTTTTTTAATCATCAGCATAGTTTGTGCAGATACTGGCTCTGCAGTGTCCTGAAAAACATCTCGCCAACATCTCCACTTTTTGTCTCTTTCTAACTCAGACGTGGGCAACGTATGGCCCATAGGCCAAAAGTGGCCCTTGGACAAGCTCCATGTGGCCCCCAATGTCTTTAATTGAAAACAGCGTTTGAAGTTGATGAAATAGTTTTTATCAAACATCTTGGAGAAATATCTTGAAAACCTTTGGATTAAGAAAGGCTAAACATTTTTTTTTTTTTCTTAAATCATCATTTCCAGAAATGGAGGTTAAAAAGCAAATGTATAATTTATGAATTTATTTATTTGCATATTTAGGCTAACGGAGGAGCTAGTTTACAGAAATTAGTCTTTTATTCCAAAACAATACTTGGCAGATTTATTTTTACTTGAAAAATGCCGAATATCTGCCTTAAAGAAAATTAATTTTCCAGTTCTCTTTGATTGATTTAAATATCCTCATTTGTTTCTTTGTAAAATAAACGTTGCCCATGCCTGGTCTGACCACACAACCTCAAAGCATTTCACCGCCGAACCCGATTCCAACACAAAGTAACTCATATTTGTGATATGGAAGAAAAAGTCCACGATCCTGAATACAAACATGTCGTTTCAGGTCCTGCTGCAGTGAAAATGCAACACAGGGCTGACCAGAACCAGAAACATGACAAAGTAAAACAGTGTTAATAGTTTATATCTAATAATGTAGATGTCCTATTGATGCTGCTCCTAAATCAAATGTAACATTTGAAGACTTTAGGCCCCATATACCCCCCCCCTGCCCCCCGTTAGTCTACAGTCTGGAGACAAATCCACTCATTTCTGTGGGATGGTTAATGTCCTGCACATAAAACCAGACCAGTTTAAACCTTCTTCATCTCAGGAGGAGCATGAAGGGCTTCTCACATTTTTACATGTAAAATCAGAAATAGAGATATGAATATATGAATTATCTTCTGCCATACATGATGGATTTAGAACAACATATATCTTTAGGTACCAT